CTGCTGAGCCGTTTCAAGACAGTTCGCCAGTGCAATGTTTTAGCACCCTGCCGCCCCAAATTGGAGCATGAGAAGAGGAGCAAGAACGACCATCGCGACTTCCAGTTCGTGCTTCTGTTACCTGGTGATCGTTTCCTTACTACTTCCTCAAGGCAGCAGCCCTAACCCTCGCGACCCTATGCCCCTTGTGCCGCAGCAACCCAAAGCAAAGCAGTCCTTACTCTGCTTCTGGCGCTCTCGCTCAGCAGCCTTCTCCTTCTTGTCAAACCTCAGCTCTAGATCTGCATCTACATCTAGATGTAGGCTTGTGTATGTATGCACATACAGGCGCACATACAAAGACACGTTGTTGGAGCTCCCGTATTATGTATGTGTACGTGTATGTATGCATGTGTATATATACATATAGATGTAGATGTAGATGTAGATGTAGATGTATATATATATATATACACAAATACATGTATTTGTATATGTGTCTCTACGCAAACTTGTGGATGCTGTTATCCGTTTGCTATGACTACAGGCTGCCTGAAGCGTTGAAGGTTGGGTAAGGTGCCTTTGACAGTGTTTTTAGGTTTGGAGAGTGTCCCGACACCAAACTCCGTCGCAGAAACGAGCTTCACTCGAATGGCTTCGGTTGCAAATAAACACCGACTGCCGGCAGGAAGAGAAGCTGCGAAAGCCAAGACCCTCACGAAAAGCTTTGTGACCGCTACGTCCTAAATCCCTAAATCGACTCTTCAGCCTCAACCCCAAGACACCGCATGAACAAACCCATTGAGTCTAAAACCCCCAGCCCTGAACCTCGAAACCCTAAACCCAAAACCCCTAGAGATCCGTAAACGCCACATGGGTAGCTCTCTAAAGTAGGGTCCCTTTTTAGATCCTCCCAATCTGTACCGCACCCTTATTTAAAAGGGATCCCCTAAACGGGACCCTACTTTAGGGAACTGCCCACATGCTGCTCCGTCCTAGGAACTCTTCTGCGAAGCGCTCCCTCTCCTCCTCTTCGGCCAGCAGCTCCTTTAAAGACACGCGGTCCTGTCTCCGGACAGTCGCAGCGTGTTTGTTTGTGGATCTTTCGATGTGTTGCTCTGGTGAAACATCACGAGGGCCTTCTTGGGCGCTGTCTGTTGGGGGCCGCTGGGCTTCGTAAGGTGGGCTTCGATTCTGAGAACTAAGACTAAGCGGACCGCCGGGTTCAGGATGTTCCGGGGGCTCAGAGACTCAAGTCCTCTCAAGTCTGCGCTGGGGTCAAGGGCCTTCCTGCTTGCTGGAGGGGTGAGGAACAAAGGCTTCAAGGGCTGGAGTAACATATTGGGATGCGAGTCAACAACACAACAGGCCAAGCCACTATGCAATGTGCGGATTGATGGGAATAGGGTCTTGCATCTGTGGGCATACCTTTCCCCAAAAAAAAATTGTGCACCCTCTGCGCACTCCGCTGCCTTCTTCTCCTCCGTCGTCTTGCTGGAGACTGCCCCCGGCTTTGCAACTTTGGACTTGCGGCCGAAGGATGCCATGGCTCATCGCCACCAGAAGCGCAAATCTTGACTTCTGAGGTCTGTTGGGCTCCTATGCCATGTCAGCCCGCAGGTCTCGAGTCTCCATTCCGGCAAGGACTTCGTAGGATGGGTCTAAGCTTTCGGGAGAACAGATGGCTCCCATGCCGAACTGCTGGTACATGGATCTATCCGAGGCTTGAGAGTCCGCAGTAGGGGAAAGTTCCTGCACGATGGTTTAGGCAGCGATCTGAAAGCTGCATGAAGTGTCCAGAACATCCTGAAAGCAAAGCCCGACTGTGATATAATACACAATTTGACATGCTATACTGTACTATGCTATACTAGACCATAGACCATAGTACACTTTACCATACTATATGATACGGTACGATACTATACTACTACACTATATGCTATAGACTATGCGACATTTTACTTATGCTATCTGATACCCGAGGTCCCACACCTCGGCACGCTTCACTTGCACGACTTGGGCGCATGCGTACTCGTCGCTCTGAAGCAGCCGAGCAATGTAGCGGACGGATACAGCCAACGGCTGCAATTCCTGTTCAGTGCTGAGTTCGAATCGAAGCTTCTTCCACCAGGTTCTACCACTTGCACGGCTACCTTACCTACGAAACGACGAGCATACTATTCGGAGGTCCGACAGTTCTGTGAGATTGTGCGGGATGCGGACGGCAGACTGCTCGGTACAGATGGTTGTTCTGGATTCGCGCATAAAATAGACGACAGCTGCACCAAGTTGTATTGCGGAGCGTTGCCATGCCAAGCTTGCTCTACTGGATCTGGCCAAAGGAGAACAATGCCGCATGCGTCTGTACGATGTATGTATGTATGTATGTATGTATGTATGTATGTATAGCGTGTGCGTGTGTGTGTGTGTGTGTGCATATGCATGCATGCAGGCGTGTATATAGTATGTCTACACATGTCAACTCTATGTCACTATGTCTGATACGAGAATTGCTAACTCCCTATTGGCCTCGTCCGTGTCTGTGCGCGCTCGTGCTCTCGGCTGGGCCCTCGGACACAGCAGGTACAGGGCTGGTCTGCAGTTCATATGTGCAGTTCAGCAAATTCCCATGTGCCCTTTCGTTCACAGTTTGCCAGGCGCTGCCAAGAATCCCCCACAGAACTTTGATCGCTTCAAGATCAGGTCTGGAGGGGGGGCTCTTTCAAGTGATTCGAAGATGAGGGCAGCGCTCGGCATCTTCCGCTTCTGCATCGGCCTAGGCATCTCTGATGTCAACTCCAGTGGCTGTGCACTCTCTGTCCCCTCATCCCTTGATGGCACCCAGTGAGACGAACTCTGGTGCTGTGCGTTCCTGAGGCATTCCAAGGCCTAGGAAACAATTTCCACTCCGCTGCGCTGCAAAGGCGCCCTCGGGATGACGGCTGACACAGCCGTAGCCGAAGGATGCAAGGGGTGCGCCGCCCACGAGGCAAGTGGCGCTTTGAATTTCACCGTTGTCTTCAGCGTGTGGCCTACAACACACACACACACACTATTCCGCTTTTAGCTCTTCTTTCTGAAAGGCCGGAGCAAGCTCTCTCCGTTTCCATCTTCTTCCCACCTACTGGAAATGTAGCCTCTTCTCCGCTGTCTTCGCAACCAAGCGCGCGGCCTTTCCTTCCTCATCTTCTTCCTGCCGCTCAGAGCAATACATGACCCAACAAGCGGCACACTTCTTCTCAGACTGAGTGTTCCTTTCGAGTATCTCGTTGCATTCCTCTCGTAGTTCGCCTGGTTGCTTCCGCTCCTAAATCCCGACCCGCCCTACCCACGACGACGTCCATGGCCGGACTGCCAGCGCCTTGCGCCTGATCCTGTGAGACCATGACAACCGCAAAAAACACGGCTATCGCCGACGACAGCAGCAGTCGCGGCTCTTTGTAAAGAGCCACCATTCAGCTCGAGCACATCTACCACCACCATCACCACTACCCTTCCATCGCGGTCTTCATCTTCATGCTCCTCATAGTCATCGTCATCATATGGCTTGCTAGCCACTTACTCCTGTCTTGTTGTGTATGAGCAGCAGCAGGTGCAGAAGGAAGAACCGAGAAATGACAGCTTGAAGTGTAATGCGCTCGAAAGCTTGCAGGTGAAGTGCACCATACTGTAGACTTTTCCGAGCGGCCGGCTACTGCACCGAGATGCACCCAAGTCAGAAAGACTAAACAACCCCTGGCATGCACCGACGTGGAATCATCTGGCAATCCCCTCTTTCGGAGTATCTTGAGATGCCACCTTGCCTCTGGAGGTTTGGCATCGCCTTCGGCTGTGGCCTTCAGGCGAGCAAGAAGCATCAGCAAAGTGGTCGACACACTTTCGTTCGATCAGCAAACGTCCCGCATGCCATGCCTCCGAATATGGCCCCATAAAGCCAGGACCCAGGCCCAAAACCTAGCAATCCTTCTGAGCCCTCGTTTCTCTGACCCCAAACAGTCCCTATGGACCCTCGTCGAAGTCCCTGAAACAAGCACGATGAAAAGAACAGTGATATGTGAATATATATATATATATAAAATTAAAACCAATTTTAAACGAATCCTCTGAAGCCCAGGGTCCTCGGCCTCGGCCCCTGCGACCTCCTCGGCCTCCTCGTCCTCGGGTCTCGGCAGCGGAGGGAGCTCCGGTGCCCCTTCCTCGGAGCGGAGATCCGTTTTAGGGTTCATAGGGCCAGGGTCTAGGGTTCTTTTTGGGGTTTGGGGTTTAGAGTTTAGGGTTTAGGGCCGGGTTTCTTCCCTCCTTAGCAAGGACAAGGGTTTCAGGGTTTAGGGTTTAGCGTGTCTTCTCGCAAAACTTCGTGTTTCGACTCACAGGCTCGCACAAGGCAGGCGGCACACAGCGGGCTTGCGGGCTTTAGGACCAGTTTCCACTCACTCGATGGATTCAGAAGGAGTGGCAGTGAGTCGGTAGCTCGGAGAAGGCCCCCTCCTGAGCCCTGGGCCAGCACGCTGCCAAGCCTCGACATCGCTCTTCGACAGCAGCCAGCCCCCTCTCGTCTCAGTGCGGCATCTTCGGCCCCCGGCGCATCGCAGGAAGCGGCCCTCACGGTGGGATCGCGATGGCCAACTCGGCGGGCGGGTGCCGAGCGCAACGGGAACGGGAAGCTGACCGGGGTTGTGAGAAGCCGACTTGCCATGCGGCCAAGCTCTTGGATGACGGCGTGCGCGTTCTGGCATGAGAGTGGCGGCATCCAAAACTGCGACATGCCGGACATCAGTGATACCAGAGAGCTGTTTTTGCTCCTGGTTACTTGCCGGCTTTCCAGGTTTGCGGTGCCTGAAAAGCCTGCTACTTGTAGCCATGGTACAGAGAAGGCAGGGCACTTTGGCCCCTTGCCAGCTCTCAGGGCGGTTTCGACTTCATCGGCTTTCCGAGGTGACCTGCGCAAAGTCGCAGGCTTGACTGCCCCTCTGTGGCTCGCTCTTTTCTTCTTGGGAGCAGCCACAGCACGCTGATTTTCAAGGGCTTTCGAAGGAGTCGGGGTATCCGCTTGCTGGGCTGTCCGGACCAGGGCTCTGAGGACTCTCACTTTGCGAGAGGGAACCACTGTAGTCATGACTCGGGGCTTCAGAGAGCTGCAGGCTTTGCTGCATCTCAGGACTCCCCTCGGATTCCTTCGGCACCTCCCTGTCCTCGAAGTTCTCGGAAGCCTCGTCGTAGAATTCGGAAGCTGTGTACTTCGTTGCAGGGCTCTCCGGATCGGCCTCGTCCTCAGCCTCCATAGCCTCCTCAGCCTCCGATCCCTCCGCCTCTGCCGCGGCCTCTGTCTGGCCGCCATCTTCTGGAGCCTCTTCAACATCTGAGTCATCCTCCCCCGCCGAGGCCATGTGCTCCACCCTTTTCATCTCAACTTCCACCCTCTTGTCAGCGAAACCCTGCAACTCCTCCACCTCCACGCGGCCATTGCGATTCGCATCCAGCGACTGGAACAAGAGGCGCTGCTGCTCCAAGCTTAGCCAATGCACCCCCATGTCCGTGAGCACCATATGGAAATCCCAGAAGTGCAAGCTCCGAGGCCGGGCAGGAGGGTAATACGCGGCGCGTCCCTGGTTCTGCACACTCCAGCCCCGGAAGTACGGCACGGCTCTTTTTTCGGCAAAGCGCCGGGCCCACACATCCAGAACCCGCTGAACCTCCGTGGCCGCCTGCATCGGATCCCAGGAGAAACGGGAGACCCAGTCGCTGAGGCTGATCCCGGCCTGCTGCAGCGACATCAACGAACGCTGACCCCGATACTAGTAAGCTAGTAAGAGTTGCAAGAGTTGGAGCGGGTGGGGGTGGGGTATGAGCAGCGCCTCTGCATCTTGACCTCCAATCACAGAGAAGATGACGTCCATCTGCTCGCGCGTCAGCCACATGATGCTGCCCGCATTGAGGATGCTGGCAAACTCCGACCTCGAGATCGACGCAGGGAGCAAGCCTCCCTTCGCCTCTGCCTTGCAGCGCAAGGTCTCGTTGATCTTCTTCGTCACGTGGAAGACATGATGTGTCCTGGGGCTGATCGGAGTGGCCTAGCCGCCGAGCCTTAGACAGACCCTGTGAGAGGAACCTTAAATACCATAGCAGTTTCAGCAGATACTAGACGCCTCTCCTGGGTCAGGAACCCCTCTCCTCTTAAGTATTAAGTAGTTTCATCGAAGCCTCCCGGGTCCTCAAAGTTCCCGAGCCGATCTTCGAGAAGTGGCCCCCGGAGTCGATCACAAAGGCATCGGCCAAGGCCTCCTCCCAGCTCTCGGAGCCCTCGCCTTCCTCTTTTCTGAGGCGCTCCTGCTGCAGAACCTCGAGGAGCATCTCTTCCTGCATGGCAGGACTCGCGGGGGCTTAGATGGGCTTAGCTTCGGGTCCGAACACGATGGCGAATCGCGGAAGCGGGAAGACGAAGTCAGCACCGACTTCTTTGCTGCTACTAGCGACTGCCTCCGGCTCGCGGAGCCAGTAGATGCCCGCTTCGCGCAGGGCCTCTCGGAGGCCTTTCGGCCGAAGCTTCCGAGCGTCCCGGGGCCGGCCGATTTCGAGCTTCTCGGGGAGGGGAAGCTCGCCGAGCTCTGACATCAAAAGGAAGTCGGCCCGAGAGTTCAGGCGTAGCATCGAGTCGCGCTGCAGCTGACGGCTTCCCCACTGGATGCTTTCCACAAGCATCGCACGGCCAAGGTCATCTGCGTCACAGGCCCTCTCCAGCTGCCGCAGCTCCTGGCGCTTCTCCAAGTGCAGCGGTCGCCAGTCGTACTTCAAATTCTCGACGAGCCGGTGAAAGTGGAGCCTCAGAGGCGCAGGCTCCATGCAGAGCCCTCCCCCCCACCCCCCCCACTCTGCCCAAAAAGAGGCCGAGGTCCCATTCCAGTCCCTCCCTGTGCCGAGCAGCTCCCGGATCTTCCCGAAGCCTTGGCAAAGAATCTCTCTCTCTCTCTCTCTCTTTCTTTCTTTCGCCAGGGCTACGACCGAGGGTTGCCCCTCGATCTCTCTCTCTCTCTCTCTCTCTCTCTCTCTCTCTCTCTGGTAGAAAGAAAGAGACAGTGGGGGTGGGGACCTAGCCCACCGTGGGAGCCCGAGGAGCCCATGCGATCTGCCAGCTGCTTGGAGGAGAAGCGCGGGAGCTTGGCGAAGGGACTCCGGAAGCAGAGTCGAACCGAAACAGGCGCCAGCTTGGACAGCACCTTCAGGGCTTCCCAGGCTTCTATGTTGGGGCTAAAGCTAAAGACAACCGATCCTGATGCTGCCTGTTGTACAATACAAATACTACTAATAATAATAATGATGATAATGAGAAGAAAAATAGTAATAGTAATAATAATAATACTAATAATAATAATAATAACAAATAATAATAATAATAACAAACAATAATAATAATAGTAATAATAATAGTAATAATAATAGTAATGATAATTAGACTACTACCAGATCCTCAAGATTCAACAGACAGACTTGTCGGCAGCTGGGATCTCGGCCTGATCGCTACGATGGGCCTGCAAGGCCTTCTCCTGGATCGCTTTCCTGGGCTCTCTTGTTTTTGGGATTTCGTTTTAAGTTTACGCACAACAAGGAAACCCCATCACTTACGGTAGATCCCTATAGATGATGGTAAACTTAAACCCCAAATTATGCCTCTAATAACAAGACCCCAGCTGCTTCTCGTCCAATCCCGAGAAGACCACGGCCAGCAGCTCGAAGCCCTCGCAGAGCCCGTGGTTCGCCTGGGCTCTTGTTGAAGGACCTAAATTTAAGATACCAGAATAGGGATCTATAGTAAATAAGATGGTTTCCTTGTTATGGTAACTTAAATTAAATCCCTAGCAAATAATATGGTTTTTCCTTATCATGGTAGCTTAAACCTAAATCCCTTAACAAGAACCCAGTCGCTGCGCGGCTGCAGTCGGGAACCGCTGCCACGAAGAGCTGCTCCCCGCGTCCGCCTCGCAGCTCGATCTCCGCTGGCAGCTCCTGGGGGTTGGGTCTTCTTCTTCTTTAGGGGGTTTAGGGTTTGTAGGGTGTAGGGCTTATAGGGCTTATAGGGTTTAGGGTTTAGTTTAGAAAGTTTAGGGTTTAGGGTTTAGAGATTTAGTGGTTTTAATTACCATAATGAGGAAACCATACTGTTTCCTATAGATGCCAATATGATGGTAACTTATGAAAAAAAACGGAAATCCCTTAAGACAAGAACCCAGGCTCCTGAGCCACGGTGACCTTAGAAACCGAAGCGCCTCCCTGGCCTCGCTCCAGCTGCGAGAGGCAAGCGGTCAGGATTTGGGCAAAGTCCGCTTTCAAGCCACTGCTTCTCATCGCCTGGTGGGGAGTGTTTTAGGTCCCCAAAGATAGTACGGCACCCGCATAAACAGGACCCAAAAAGGGACCCTAAGTTAGAGAACTCCTCATCGCCTTGCGCACCAAGGCTTCTGCCTCATCTGACTCTGCAGCACATTCGAGCAAGACGTTGGTGGCAAAGGTTGCTCCCGAATTCTCCTCGGGATCTTCGCTCAACAGCCTCACGGCCTCCACGACGATCTTCGACACAGGGGCCCTGAACTCCCCGCGCTCCCGAATCAAGGACTTCTGAAGTCCATAGCGCGTCGCTGTAACGAGAGCCTGCCGGAGTTGCAGCCACTCGTTCTGGCTCTGCAGAAGCTGCATAAGCGTAAAGTTCTTGACAGTGAAGCACACCCGCCAAGTGGTCTTCACTCCGCGGAAGTACTCCACCCAAACTGCCTCTTCCGACTCCCCTGGCAGCCCTAGGGGCCGATCCGCAAGAACCGCGGTCCTTGAGGCCAAACCTTTGAGCAAGGAAGCGTTGCTCACCTTCTCCAGGTTGGGCCGCTGATCTCTGCCAGCTTTTCGCCAGGTCGAGATGCATTTCTCGGCCTTTGGCTGGGCTTTTGGGCCCCTGTGACTTGGCTGATGGAAGCGATCCATCTCTGCCGATTTGGCCTGGACTGCATCTCTTTGGCCGAGTTTTCTCTAAGGGTGGGCGATGCATCGTATATTACTTCATCATACTTCTACGGCCGAGACCTGGCACGAACTCTGCTCTCAAAAGGTGCTGCTAGCTGAATGTTCTCTGAAGTCCAGCCAGTACAGCACAGCAGTTGATACGGACGAGTGCAATGGAAGCTGTAACAGCACATGCATCAGCACGACCGTCGAGAAAGAGAGACTGCATGCGAAGAGCCCAATTGCGGAGGACGGGACCGTCGCAGCACATGGTGAGTGACATGTTGCTTGGTCGGCCGGGCACCTGAAAGGCCACGTCTCCTCCGGGCAGCTGCAAGACCTTCTGCCTCAGACTTGACAGCAACTCTCCGAGCCGTGTTCATGTCGGATCTCTTGAGCTACTGGCGCTTCGAAGCTGCCACGAGCCTCCCCTGTGCTCCAAGAGCCCGAACCTCAGACAAAGCGGCAGAGAAGTGAGGAGCCTGGCACCATCGGCTCTTGAAACGCCCTGCAACAGCCTACGATGGTCCAACGCCCACAACGAGAGCCCAGCGCGCCGCCCGCGACGCCGCGGCCGCGCCGCGCAACAGCGCACCCTGGCGGCGCTTGGGGCGCACCGCGAGCTCATCCTTCCAAGCCCCAAGTCCCAACAGTGTGTTGCCATCACTGTCAGGAGGTTTGGCTTCACAGAAATACACGAAAAACCCTACATTTACGACAGCACATGCCCTTGTTTGGTGGATGCAAGCGGTCATCTCTCGCTCACGAGTTATGGCTGCTTTCCGCAAGCAGGCTGCGCGACACCGTCCAACATGTTTGACTTACGTGGAATTGCCCGAACAACTCCCGCCCGCATCCACCTGAGCTCTTGATATGACTTCGAGCTAGCACAATCTGATAATCTAGCTGTAATTCGGCGAGGAGCAACTTTCGAGCCAACCAATTAAATATCTCACGACCAGCTGAAACGACACCCGTAACGATGCGCAGAGCCTTAGACTAAAGACCGCGTCGGTGCTCGGGAGGTAGACCGAACATGTGGAATGAAAGGTGCGTGAAAAACGAACCTTCATCCGCAAAAGTCGTGTCACACTAGCTTATCACAAAGACTCTTTTCTGCAGTGATCGTTTGACCGATCTCGCGCCTAAGCGACAGCTGCAGGTAATGAGAAGGAACTGTCAATAGTTTCCATGGCTTCAGGAGGTGCGTTGTTCGTTGCCGACATTCCTGTGACACAAGCTTTGTTTACAGCTTGGTACCCCGCAAAAACACGAATAGACAAGCCTCGTCGTCGATCCCCAGCGAGTCCAGGGTGATGCCGTCGTCATGCAAGAGAACGCCATTGAAGTACAGGTTCTGTAATTGAATCAAATTGAACTCGTACTGACATGCGATCGACATCTAGATCCTAGAGTAAGGCCGTGCTCAACACTGACCGTCCAGGAAAACGCACAGACATACTTTCGTGACCCACTCTCTGGGAACACAGCACACAGCTGAAACTCAGAAGTATGCTATGCAGAGATTACATGACCGCAGCAAGCCCAGAAATCTCACCAAGAATCGCATCTAAGACAAGAGCCCCGTGCACAAACCTGCTTTCATGTCTTGGTGCAGGGTCCAATCCCCCAACACCGGCAGGGCCTGCCTGCCGCAAGAAGGGAACGCCGTACAACTCGGTGATGAAGCCTGGCAGATCATCGCAACTGTCTGACTTCTTCTGTCGTGCTCGGGATCCGTGAGGGCATGGCCCTTCACATTCTGGATGCTGTCCCGGGACTCGCAAGGTAGTCGTCTGGGCACTGCCTGAGAACAAAGGCCGCCCGAAATCCCGTGAAGACCTGCGGCACATATTCGACGCTGCCCTGCCTTGTGCGTCGTTGGAAGCAAAGAGGGATCTATGTGGATGACTAAGTACATGCGGGTGTAATCTCGAGCCCGACACGAGGGAAAGGTTATCACAGGGTGCTGGCCTGGCTTCGCCTATACTACAACCATGTTGCAAGGTTTCCAAACATCAAGGAGAACCTGAAAATCAGGGCAGTCCAAGGGCAGAATCCAAGCAGCCCAGTCTAAGGCAACCAAACCCATGGGATTGGCTGGGTCGGAGTCCCGGAGGCGAGAAAGCTTTTCTTCCGACATGCGTCGGAGGGTGTCCAGGGTCGGGCCGACTTGAAACTCAGCCTCCGACACCCGAAAACTTCATAAACTAAAGGCTCGAAAGGAACTGCTGCAAGTCCTTCGATCCTAAGGAACCGGAAGCTGCAGGGTTCCACTCCTCTCCCTGAGCTTTTCGGATATGAAAGCCGGAGTAACCATAGCCTACCAGAGTTGGATTCCGCGTCTGCTCTCAGGAACTCTGACCAATCACCGCCGCCTAAGTGGAACACGTATGAAGTGATGCCATACCACCGGGTCGAAATGTGTTCTGACTCCCAAGCAATCGAAATCTCAAGCCTGCCTGAAGGGCGGCACACTTGACGACGCATGTAGGCTAGAAGGGTCTCGTGCCCCTAACCTCCTAAACCTTACGAACCCAGAGCAGCTTCCTCTTGGGCACCGCGGCCCTTGATTGAAACGAGCCTACAGGCCTTCCCACGGACCCTCCAGGTCAAAGCAGGAGAAGAAAACTGGGAGGCTTCGTCGCTTCAGAGATCTCAGATCGGCTGCAGTCCGCCATCGGGCTTGGCTTGCAGCCGACAGCGGCATCTGTGGAGAGCATTTCAACATGTCTAAAGACGCCATAGGGCCATAGTCAGTCCTAGTGAATCTTGCTGAGGTCTGAGACTAACGAACATCAGGCAGCATCGACGCCCAAAGCACACCATGCCTACGAAGTGATCCTCGGCACTGTCCTGCGACGATAAGACCTGAGCCGCTTTGCACCATCCCCAATCTTCCGTACACTTGGTGTACACTGGGCTTGGGGGTTTCGACACTCACACTCGCGCACAGCAGGCAAGGCTCCACTTGGGGGTTTCGACTCTCACACTCGC